GCTGCCGCTGGCGTTCCTGGGTATGGACCGCCTCCACCCAATCGCCGATCTGGAACTGCTCCTGGCTGGTGAGATTGGGAATGGCCGCCCAGCTGTTGGGGCAGGGCAGGTCGGGGATGGGGCTTGTGGCCGGAGTGGCTGGAGTGGCCGTGATGGAGGTGTCGGTATTTGTGGTCCTCACATACGCGGTAATGGTGGCTGGAGCCGGTCCAGGAATTGGAGGAAGTGCCTCCAACCAGGTGGCGGAGTCGGTGGATTGGCGTCTCAGTATCGCTGCGTTTGCCCCGGCGCCGGTGGCTGCGCTGTCGGCGCTGGCTTCGCCGTCGGCGGCGCTGTCGGAGCTGGCAGTGGAAATGGCTGATTTGGGGCGATCCCTGGCTGTGACGCCGTGTGGTCCTCGTCGTCGTCGTCCTCTTCTGGCAGTGGAACCGCGTGGCATAGCTGCGCTGGATTGGCTTTGGTTGGATTTGGTAATAAATTTTTTCGACCGACGCGAGTGGAGATTTTGTCAAGTCAGATTGATTCACACAGTTTTTTTGAGTTTTTTTTTCCAATTATATACCCGCTTTGGGTTGAGGGCACTCAGTGCTCCATACAGGGGAGGAACTGAGAGGCTGGGGTGTGAGCCGCCAGCAACCAAGCGCGTTGCTTTATTAATTTCTCTTTGTGGGCAGTATATGTCTTAATTTAGTAGATGTACATTTTTATACCCGATACTCAAAATGAGTATTGGGGTATATTAGATTTGTGGTAAAAGTGGATGTGTGTAACGTCCAGAAGGAATCGTTTCCGACCCTATAAAGTATATATATTCTTGATCAGCATCAATAGCCGAGTCGATTGAGCCCTGTCTGTCTGTCCGTCCGTCCGTCTGTCCGTCTGTCCGTCCCCTTCAGCGCCTAATGCTCAAGGACTATAAGAGCTAGAGCAACGATGTTTTGGATCCAGACTTCTGTGATATGTCACTGCTCCAAAAATATTTCAAAACTTTGCCCCGCCCACTTCCGCCCCCACAAAGGGCGAAAATCTGTGGCATCCACAATTTCGACGATACGAGAAAACTAAAAACGCAGAATCGTAGAAGATGACTATATCTTCTAGAGTGCAAAATCTGAACCAGATCGTATAATTATTACAGCCAGAATCACGAAAACAATTTCACTCTTTCTCGCTCTGTCTCACTCTAACACACAGGTTTCATGGTCGGTTTTGCCAATTGCAAAATATGAGTTCAAGGATCTCAGAACCTATAAAAGCCAGAGCAACCAAATTTGGTATCCACACTCCTGTGATATCGGACCTTGACCGTTTCCTGTCCAAATTTCGCCACACCCCCTTCCGCCCCCGCAAAGGACGAAAATCTGAGGCAACCACAAATCTCAGAGACTATTAAGGCTAGAGTAACCAAATTTGGTGCACACACTCCTTTAAGATGTCACTATAAAACGTATATCTCAGAATTTCGCCCCACCCCCATCCGCCCCCACAAAGGACGAAAATCTGTTGCATCCACAATATTGCAGATTTGAGAAAACTAAAAACGAAGAATCATAGATAATGACCATATCTATTAGATTGTTGAATCTGGATCAGATCAGACCATTTTTTGTAGCCAAAAGGAACAAATCAATTTGCAGTGGCTACGCAGCGCCCGACGTCACGCTCAGACTGATTTCCTGTCTTGTCGACTCTCTGTCGTGTCGTTAAATATTAGCGGCGTCTGCCGGAGGAGAGCCATACTGACTTAGTATCGGGTATAACCTTAGAGTTGCGGTGTCCGCAGCAACTCACAACGTTCCCCCTCGTTGTTTGTTTGTTTTTTACAATTTAACTTTTAAACGGCACTCAAACACACTAGTACATTTAATGGCACAATAATTTACAAACATATAAACTGCAGCAACGTTAAACACTTGTAACCTCGACTAGGCCCGCAGTCAGCAGGGGGGGGCAAGGGAAAAAGAGAAAGAGAGAGAGATAAACTTTTCGGCACTTTGACGGAGGGACTAAACCTCAAACACGACTCGACTCCACAACGCTCACGACACGACTTTTTCTCGTTTGGACAGAGATCCAGACTCGAGACTCGATTCCACGATCGGGGCAAAAGGCTCCAAAAGTATGAATTGTCAAGAGGGTGTCAAGTGTGTGTGTGTGCGGTGTGAGTCAAGAAAGTAAAGTGGGGCCACGCTCAAAAGTATGCTGTCTCTTCTTTGTAATTTTCCCTAACTTAAAATTTGATTTGATCCCCTGTGAGTTTGTCAACTTGATGTTTTGTTGGTTGTAATGCGGTATGTGGTCTTCAGTCCCCTCTACTACCCTTGCCGCCTGCTGAGGGCAGACGACTAGGAATGTATCATGTACATGTGGGCGGGCAGTTTATAGGGAACGTAGTGGATATATGCGAAGACTTGCATATTTGGCTCAATTTAGGCCGTAGTGGTGGGGTGTGGCGGCAACTGATGCTGATTTGAAAGTCGATTACGAAACCGATAATCAATTGTCAGCACCGTTGCCGCCGAAGTTTTATCACAGATTGTAATAATTTTTTTTTAGTGGGGTGTCGGAGAACCGCACTAATTACGATAGTAACAATAAGGGGGGGGAAGAAGGGGTTAAAGAAATGAGATCGAAATGTGCAGAAATGTGCAGTGTTGCAACACGTAGTCAATTGGGGAATAGATAAAGGGAAAAGGTAAACAATGCATGTGCTTTGCATGGAAAATAAGTGGAAAGGCACTAAATAAAAGAGACAAGCACTTGCAGAAATAGCAATACAGATAAGTAATAGACTGGAGTGGAGACGACGGAAAAACAGGTAATAAAAGAGATACTACACTGGAACAAAGACGAGACAAAACAGGTACAATTGATTTACGTTTACAATATTACAATAAACATAACAATTTAAAATAATGTCTATATCTTTTACTATAATTACAGGGAAGACAAGAAGCATCGGCCGGCATAGCAAAACACAATGCTTGTAAAGACATTGCGTTGCATACCGGCCGACCATCTGTGGGCAATGGCGGTCGATGACACGCCTACTCGAACGGCGCAGGTCCGGCCGCCCAAGTGTAATGGATGTGTGTGTGTGTGTGTGTCTGAATGGCTGGCGGTAGGTATTTTGAGAGCCCTTTTTTAATCGTATGTGTGGCTGATGGATTTTTCCTTTTCCAGGACCATAGGGCACTCTGAATGCCATGGCACTGGATCCGGCCACCAACTAAGGACGATGGCGATGGCATAACTCGAACGGCCCAGGTCCGGCCGCCCAAGTGTAATGGATGTGTGTGTGTGTGTGTGTCTGAATGGCTGGCGGTAGGTATTTTGAGAGCCCTTTTTTAATCGTATGTGTGGCTGATGGATTTTTCCTTTTCCAGGACCATAGGGCACTCTGAATGCCATGGCACTGGATCCGGCCACCAACTAAGGACGATGGCGATGGCATAACTCGAACGGCCCAGGTCCGGCCGCCCAAGTGTAATGGATGTTTGTGTGTGTGTGTCTGAATGGCTGGCGGTAAGTATTTTGAGCGCCCTTTTTAATCGTATGTGTGGCTGATGGATTTTTCCTTTTCCAGGACCATAGGGCACTCTGAATGCCATGGCACTGGATCCGGCCACCAGCTAAGGACGATGGCGGACACGACACACATCTACTCGAACGGCACAGGTCCGGCCGCCCAAGTGTAATGGATGTTTGTGTGTGTGTTGATGTTTTATTTAATTGCTTTGATGGCGGCAGCGTCCGTTGTTAATTTTTGTTGTGGCATGCGGTTGATATGCATTTGTCATTTAATCCATTGCAGTGGCAGAGATGTGTCCAATTAGTACACAGCGTTCCAGGATATCTGGTTGTCAAGATGGTACCTCATGTTGCGGGCGTAGGCCTTAATGTCATCCATGGAGTCGTCATCTGTCCACATCTCATCGTCATCATTTTCTTCATCCGTTTCAGGATCCGTCTCTGGAATGGCGGCTGGCATTGGCCCTGACGTTTTTTGTGGTGGCTGTGGAGCTGGGGCAACCACTGCTGCTGCTGCCATTGTTGGTGGATTTTCCGATGTCACTGGAACTGCTGGAGTTGCCGTCACTGCCTGGGATTGGATGAGCGAGGTGAGTAGTGACATCATCGCTTCCAGCCTCTTTTCCAATCGCGTCATCCTCTGCGTATTCTCCAACAGTGCCTGGCTGCAGGATCCCTCGCAAGATTGGCGTTTCGGCTGCATCTTCTGCCGGGAGCGGTTGTTGGCAAGCTGCTGCTGCTGCTGTCGCTGTTGTTGTTCGCGCTGCGGCTGCTGTTGCAGCTGCTGTAGCTGCTGCTGCTGTTGTGCCTGGGAACGGCTCAATGGCTGCTCTGGACGTCGTCGCCCAGTGCGTGGGCCAGAGGCAGCAGGCGTCTGTTTTTTTGTATGTATTGGCTGCTGCTGCTTCTGCTTCTGCTGATGTTGTTGTCCTCTTCGTCGCCCAGGAGAGGAGACATTGAGTGGCGTCCATGCTGCCTGCTGCTGCTGTCCGCGCCAGGGATTGGCTGGCGTTTGAGCTTGCTGTTGCTGCTGCTGTCGGCGCCCTGGATGTGCTGGTGTTGTTCTTGCTGGTGGTGGCTGCTGCTCTGGCAATGGCTGCAGAAGCGAGCTGCGCTTGCGACGCAACTCCTGCATGGCCACTCGGTGGGACAGAAGGCGGCCCCTTGCTGCCTTGAATGCCGGACATCCCTTGTAGGCGCTGATGTGGGCGCCCTGGCAATTGGCGCATTTAGGGGCGTCTGCCCTTGGCTTGGCACATGCCGTGGACGCGTGGGCACCCGCACACTTCATACAGACGAATGAACGCCTGCAGTAGGTGCGGGTGTGCCCGAATGCCTGACATCTGTGGCACTGGGCTGGGTCCACCGGCTTGGCCTGCCTCTCAACGGTCACCAACTGGTTGCCCAGCTGGGTTAATTGGAGGACATCGTGGTGGCTTTCATCCGGCTTGGGGGCTATCTCCAACTCGAACTGGTCGAGCGGCTGTCCATCGCTTTGCTGAACAACGGAAATGTACAATACGTAGATGAGTAGATGACTTAGACCTCCGTCGACCGTGCGTTCTCATCGGAGCGTGAGGCCTTCCTCTCCCTTCCAGGGATTCGACCCGTGACCACGGCTCCTCCTCCTACTCCTGCTCCTCCGCCTCCCTGCTGCTGTAGCGCCTGCGCCTGAGCCTGCGCTTGGGCCTGGGCTTGCGCCTGGGCTTGCATTTGTGCCTGTTGCTGAAGCATTTGCTGCTGCTGCATCATGTAGGCGGCCTGCGACTGCTGCACAAAGTTGGCATGCGTGTACGCCTGCATTCCGGGCGCTGCATACACATTGTTGGGCGTGGCAATCGCCGCCGTTGGCGGCATGTTGAAACGCATCTTGGCAGCCGCCGCTGCATTGGCGGCAGCTGCAATGGCCGCCGCATTCTCCCGCGAGGCGCTGGACGTGGTGGTCGACTGGAAGGAGATGCTCATGCCGCTGTCCAGGGAGCCGACGCTGCCTCGTCGCTGGGGCTTCTCGTTGCCAACTGGAAGGAGACTCGGAATAAGACAAACGCTCTCACATATCAAAATTTGAGTCTGAGAACTCACATTGCTCGTGCATGTCCAGGAGACTGTTGCTGAGCGCACTGCGCTTCAGCTGCTGCGTGGAGTCGGCCGAGTTGCCAGCTGCCTGCTCGCCGGCTGCCTGGGAGCCGCCGCCGGGCTGGGAGCCATAGGGACAGGGACTCACCTCCACATCGGCCACGCCACTATCGCGGTTCTCTGCGTTCTCTGCCCGGTTGCGCGCCGACTTCTGGCGCTCCAGCTCTGCCTCGATGCGCAGCGATTCCATTTCGTCCATCTCGCTGATGGACTCCTTGAGATCCTCGGCAAACTTGCAGCGGTCGTGCTCGTTGCGGGCATTGAAGGTGATCAGGATCTTACCGTCGACCTTCTGCGACAGCTGGATGCAGAACGGATAGTTGGGCATGTCCAGCAGGGTCACCACCGTGCCGCAGAGCGGGAAGCTGTTGCGGAACGTGTACGTCACGGAGGTCTTCTTCTTGCTGAATATCTTGGTGATGACCAGCAGGTCGTTGAAGAGGAACACCTCGCGCTGGTGGACGCCCGGCCGCTCCTTCTTGTTCACGTCGGGTATCTCGTACAGGCGGCAATAGCAGACCAGCCGCCGGTGGGGCAGCGCCAGATTCGGCTTCTTGCCGACAATGGTGGCCTGCACCTTCATCACCTGGGTGACGTGGTCGCTGCCCGGCTTGAACTCGTCCGACTTGACGCGCTCATAGATGCCGCTCAGCATGTCCTTGTCAATGTCGTGGCAATCGTCGATGCCTCGCAGATTCTTGATGAAGTCCTCGACGCGCATGCGCCTTTCCGGCTTCAGATTGGGCGTGTGCAGATCCGTATTGAGCATAATGATGGCAAATGCCAGCACAAAGATCTGTAAACAAATATAAATCGGATTAGTAGGCGAACCTCCAAGGAGGGGAGGGGAGGGGAGACTCTACCGTATCGGATGATCTTAGGCGCCCCACAATGTCCGCATTGCACTCGCAGTAGCGCTGCGAGAAGATCTCCATCAGCCGCTCAATCTTCTGCGCCTCCCCGGGCATCCGGAAGTAGGCCTGGAACTTGCGCAGGGCCACGTCCACCTGGCGGCCGGACAGGTCCAGCTCCATGGCGAAGCAGCTGAGCACGGCCATGTTGAACTGGTTCTGCAGATTGCCCAGATACTCGCCGATCATCTGGCGGGAGAGGCCCTTGCGCGTGATCAGGAAACGAGCCACGCCCTGTGGCGTGTTCTCGAGGAAGCCCCTGCGGATGAGATAGGTGATGCCCTTCTCCGGCTTCTTGTTGAACAGATTGAGGCCCACGCCGTACTGCCGCTTGCGTATGGTCTCCGACATCTTGTAGTTCTGGGCCACGCCCGCGGCGGAGGCCGCTGCCTGCAGCTGCTGCTGCTCGTGCTGCTGCTGGTGTGCGACGAGACGGCATGATCGTCCGTCGGCGGTACTCCGCCCGCCGCTGTGGCCGCTGCCACGGCCGCCTGCATCTGTGCGGCATAAGCTCCGGGCCCAGCAGCAGCTATGGCTGCTCCGGAGACCACAACGGCTCCACCTCCACCTCCGCTGGGCACCGAGAACGATACCGAGTCGGCCGAGTGCGTGGAGAACTGCTGGGAGCTGTTCAGGGCCGTGCCACGCTTCCACGTGTGGGGGGAGTTGCTGCGGTCCGATCCGAGGTCGCTGTTCATGTTCCGCTCCGCCGAGGTGACGCTCGAGTCTGAGCCGGAACTCTGGACGGAGGTCAGGCTGCCGTTCTCCGCCGTCTTGCAGAGCCCGTTGGTCCGCAGCAGCGACGGGGGCGGCGGTGTCTGGCGCTGCAGCAGCAGCAGCTGGCTCTGCTGCTGTGCCGTGATCGAAGAGGTGCGCTTGGGCACCTCCGGCGGAACCTTCTTGCAGCTGCCGCTGCCACTGCCGCTGCCGCTGCCCGTGCTGCCGCTGCAGCTGGGAGTGGGCGTGGTGCTGCCGCCCTTGGGGCGCATGTAGATCTGTGCCGCCGAGTAGTAGGGCGTGTGGGGGCTGTGCCCGCTGGCGTTCACCCACGAGGCGTTCAGCGAGACGTCCGCGGAGCTGGCGTAGCTCAGGTCGTGCGGGGAGCCGTGGTAGCTGGTGTAGTAGACGGCTCCCTGGGCATTGTAGTAATGCGGCTCGGCCGCGTGCAGCAGATTCACATGCGGATGGGAGGCCATTCCGCCAGCGGTGGCTGTGGATCCCGAAATGGAAACGGGAGAGGCGCCTGCAAAAAGACAGAGGAGTTGGATTAAGCAAAGGATCCACAAGCAGGGGGAGAGAGTGATTCCTTACCCGATTGACTACGTGGTATGGGACTGCAGTCCAGCTGTCGTCGCTCCCGCATCGACAGAGAGCGCGACTTTTGATTGCCAGAATGCCCAGAGTGTGCAATGGAGGAGGGGATCTGGCGTTTAATAGAGCTCTTAGTCCAGCTGCCACCTGCCTCCTGTACTGCTTTCAATCTCCTCCGTAGATACGTATCTATGCTTTGTCACAGAGCTAACAACTATGCTATGCTATTGATTGTTGATTGATTGAGGCAAAACAAACAGAGATCTAAACTGGAATTTTTAACAGCAGAATTTCCGTCTTTAAACGGAAGGGACATCGCCAAAATATCACCAAAGGGTCGTATCTATTCTATTAATCTGTTCCCGATTCCCTTTCAAGACACTCAATGCCTCCAAACGAGACTTATATCTTTGGGTAATCCCATAAAGAAGAGGCTCCCCAATCGTGTCCATGGTTTTCCCTTTGAGAGAGGCAATACTTACGCTGACTGTGCCCGTCCGCGCTTGAGGTCATCTCCGCCATTGCGGATCGAGTTCTTCTTGTGCATTCCCTGGTGCTGGTGCTGCTGCTGCTGGTGCTGCTGCATCTGTTGCAGCTGCTGGTGTTGCATGATCACGCTGCCGGCTCCCATGCCAGTGCCCACGCCGCTGCCGGCAATGACCACCGCTCCGCCGTGGCCGTGATGGTGTGCATGGTGCTGTCCGTGCTGTCCCCCGTGGAGCATGTGGTGGTGCTGGTGGTAGGCCGAAGATCCTCCCGCTGTCGCCGAGGTCACCTGCATGTAGTGTCCCGCAGCGGCCTGGTGCAGGTGCTGCTGCTGCTGCTGTTGCTGCTGGAGCTGCTGCTGATGCTTATGGCACGTGGGGTACTGCTGGAGCTGGTAGATCATCTGGGGATGGTGCTGCTGCGTGGGGTAGTTGATGGCGGCGGCGGCGTTGTGGGCGCCGGGCGCATAGTGGTTCTGCAGGTAGACATAGCCCCCAACGCTGCCGCTGTCGGTGGTGGAGGCTGTGCTGAAGCCGGCCGGCGGCGCCCCAGCCAGATCGTACTGTGTGGAGCCGCTGCGTTCGATGCTCTTTTGGGGAAAGCTGCAAAAGGAGAGAGAATCGACGGATTAGCCATAGAAATTCGTAAATATATCTATCCGGGAGAGAACTTTCGTTTTCTGGGTCAGATATGGGGTCATGGGCTGTGGGGCTGTGGGGCTGTTTGGCGGTTCCTACCTTTCGCCAATTATAAAACCCGATATGCAAATAATCATCGTATCGTATCGGGGGAGAAGAGAAGACTGATATATGGGCTATTTATGCCTGGCAGCCTGCTGGCAGAAGTCGTCTGCCACGAGTTTGGGAGTAGTCGCACATTCAACACACAATAACAAAAAACACCAAAAACCAAACACCAAAAACAGTTAGAGAGACGACAAATGAGAGCCAGTCACAAGATCCGCGCGATAGATCGATTCTAATTAACATACGCGACGCGAATGCGAGTGGCAATCGAAATGATATTCAAATTGGGTGCCGGAGTGTCGGGAGTGCCGGAGAGGAAGCGGAAGATATATGCAGATACGCTTTTGGGCCCTGGAGCTGGGGCAAGGGCACGTCCGATCTTAAAGGCGTTCGCGTTTGAACTAAACCGAGCGCTCGGCCACTGCTCGACAAAGTTCCAGTCGCAGTCGCAGGCGCAGGCGCAGCGTCGGCGTTGGCGTTGGCGTTGGCGTTGGCGTTCTCTTCCTCTCTTCGGGCAGAAGAAGAAACGTGTTTCGCATGGCTCATTAAATACACAGATACACACGAGGGGAGGGGGGACACAGGCACAGATACAGATACACCGAAATGCATCTGTTTTGTTTGAATCTACTCGTATTCGTATTCGTGTTCGTGTTCGTATTCATTGTTCGCGTGTACCCGTAAAAGAACAATTGTTGTGCTGTGCTGCTGCTACCCTTAAAAGAGACAAAACATTCAGAAAAAAATAAAGAAATCCTAAGCGTAAAAGGATCCATTATTGAAAGGAGACAGAGGACAGACGACAGAGGGAGAGAGAGAGGTGCAAAGTGAAGGAAATGGAAATGGAAATGATTAGCCAACGATGACAAACTTATTGATCAGGATAGCTAGCAGCAGCCTGCAAGGAGACGCACACAGGATGCAACAATTGGAGAGGGAACCCTCCAGGGAGATGGAAATGGAGAGAGACTTCCCCACATCCGAATTTCAGCTGAGAAATTAACAGATCAACACCTGATTGATTGGAGTTATTGGTCACTGGAGAAGCAAATTAAGGAAAAAGGAACAACTATTATTATATTGGAGAAAAATGCTTATTCCAAGCTTACTTTAATCCCAAAACTAATGCTTAAGGCACATGGAAATGTTGTGGATTTACACACCGTCAAAGTTTCTAGCGGAAGAGCCCGAGGCGAGGACAGCCAGAGCCAGTCTCGTAGGAAGCCTGGTCTTTCCAGGTGATGGAAATATGCACAACAAACCGCAGGACCACATCCTGTTCTGTTCTGAATCAAATCAAATCAAAGCCTCCTCTACTTAAGCGCCTCAACGGCTATACTTAAAGCCCCAAAGAGACTCTGCACTGCTTCTGTACTTAACCGCATTTCAAGGCCATGCAAACAGGGAATCTAAGATTCAATATTTCCGATTAGGGACCTGCAAATTGTATCGAACTGCTGCCGAACGGGCGTTTTCTTCCTCAAACAGGGAGAGGTTTTCAATCATCTACAAAGGATAGATACTGCAGACACTTTCCCATCAAAATACCTTCCCCAAAACATATCAGAAATATCGTAAGTATTCGCTCCCCGCGTTTCATCGTTTACTGATTTACCATGAAATCGGGAATTCGATTTGCATGCTGATCCTCTGATCCTCCGATAATTCATTATCCACGTATTCGCTTCGTATAGCTTCTAGAAAAACGAAAATCCTCTCCTGAAATCTGTAACATTTCCACGATATATTTCTATACGTGAGTAGGGGATGGATTGGAGGGGATGTCGAGGTCACGGCCGGTGGGGATTCTTTGGTTCCGTGCTCATTCGGTAACTTGGGGGGGTTCGTTTGACCGCGTCTCGACTCCTACTACATAAACTTTAAAATGTTAGAATCCCGTGACTCTACAGGGAGCGAACTCCGAAAACAACACTATGCCTATTCCGAGCATAACGGACATTACACGGCACAATCATAGGGCGTACCCGAAAGTACCAGGGGCTTTCGTCGGCGTGTTCCAAAATCTCGCGGGCGTGAGGTCTTGCGATGGAAGTCGACCCACACGATTCTATACCCACCCTTCCATGATTTCCAGGGGTGCGAAGGTTCTGGAAATCCCTAATATTCTTACCCTACCCCATTAGGTCACCCTGTCCCTAGGAAAATTATAAGTCTACTCCATGTTCATTGCTAATACAATTCAATATATTCCGTGGTACTTCATCATCGACATGTTGCTTCAATCAAAACTAACAAACCAAATTTCACTTCTTAACATAACGCTAGTCTTGCACTACAATCAGCAGGCAACTCAAGAAAAAATTTAATGGAATGGAAAAAAAATAGGAGGCTTAATCCCTAAAAAAAATTTTATAGCTATAGGGATATATAAATGGTGGAGTATAATTAGATAAGATAGGAATATAATATAAGATATTAAAATAAGTAAATTAGGTATGTATAAAGGAAAAAAATTAAAAATAAAAAAAAATATTCAAAAGCAGCAGGGGTCATACCAGCGATCAGCAATGGTGAGCCAAAACGAAATTTAATTTAACATTATAAATTTATTTAATTTTTTTTTTCTGGGTTGAGGAGATTTTTTTTCTATGTTGGTTAGTGTATTGCTTGGCTACGTTTCCATGCATTAAAAGAATGCAGGGAATGCGAGCAATGCAAGCTTAGCAGCATTGGCACCGAAGAGACCGAAAAGCTTCGAGCGTGTGGAACGCAAGCGTTGCGCTCTCTTATCAGCAGCGGCTGGCCGCTGCGCATGCGTTTTAGATTGGAACGAAGACAGGCGCAAAGGAGAAAATTAAAATTGGGTCACTTACGGCTTGCATACAGTGGTCCCTCGCTGAAAGGCGCCTTTCGTTGTGGAGCTGTGGAGACCCGGTTAGTGTGTACCCAAATCGGAGGGGGATTGGGAAATAGGGGGGGGGGGGGGGGGGGGGGGTATGAAAAGGTTTTTTTTTTTTGTCTGTTATTTTATGATTACATCGTTCAGTCTCCAACCCGCAAAAATAAATTCCGTTTTGGGAACTGGCACATTCACGCCTAGCGAGGTAGGACTGTACCTCAGAGTTAAAGAATATAAGTGCTTAAAGAACAAGAAAAATTACAATTAAAACTACACTATGCTACAAAATCTCGGTCCGGATCCGTGGCGGCGTCTTCTAGGCCGTCGCAGACAGCGAGTTAGCGGCGCATAGGGAGGGGGGGGTAATCACGATGCCCTCGATGCCCTCTATGCGCGTACGTTAGATATGGCGCAAGGGTCAGGGCCGGTGGAGGTTATGTCGCCGGGCAGGTGGATGCTTCAACGACTCCAAAAGGGGGAAAAAAATCGCGGCCCCACACCAAGGTCGACTCCGAAGAGTACTCCCGTCAAGGGTGGGAGTTTGGTGTGGGTGGGGGCAGAACTTTGGGAGAGCCGGGTGGCTACCGCTCGGGGCCAGGGCCCTATGGGCGAAACAGAACCAAAACCACGAGGCTCAGAAAAAAATCTAAATTTTCCCTACAGGGCACTTTTACATACCGGTTTTTTCCGGGCTTTTCCACGGAGACACGAGTGGTGGGTTCTCCTGGCCGAGTTGTGGGACGCACGGGTTTGCACCAAGAACAACACTTGCTGGCGAGGCGAGGCAAATATGCACTTTTCGCCAGGGTATTTTCTTGCCAGTTTTCTCGGCGCACGGTTATTAATTGTCGCCCGATTTTTGCGGCGCGCCCACCGGGTGGGACTTTCCCGTTCCGTTTTATTTATTTTCGGATTGTCTTTGTGGCACTTATTTGGGTTGTACTTTCTTACTTTTCTTTTATTTTGGGATTACACGTGGTCGATTGAGTTATATATTTTTTTACCGAAGCGGAGATAGCCACCGGCTGCACAGATTCACATTTTCAAAAGAGAACGTTCTGGGGCTTTTGCACTGCTTAAATACGAGCTTACCGATCTTAAAGCTCGGCTTCGAAAGCTCCGTTGCGATGCGCTGCACAGCACTTACGGCAGCTCAGCTCAGCTGTTCCCTACCTCGAGCTTGCTTGCACCCACCCCAACTATACTATGCCCTGCAGCGCTAATTGGCCCAAGGTTATTGCATGCGATATCCGAGCACCATAGCGATAACCTATTTTGAATCGGTATTGTCCAACCGCAACCGTTACACCACCCGATAATATGCCACCGTTAGACGGAATATTAGCGGGAATCAGGATCGAATGTCTTTCGCATGAAAGGTTCCTATTTCTCGGCCCTGCAGATTTTCCAGGAGGTAGAAACAATTACCCAGTTTTTTCCGCACGCGACATTTCAGAAATTTAGGAGCCAATTTGGCATTAAAATTTTGCGTGAATTTGCTCAAGGAAAAATTTCGGTGAAATACTTCCTGACCTTCTCGGAACGACACAGGCTTGGCTCGTAAATTGTATTGAGCCACGTTGCGCTCATACGCTTTCTTAATATTGCCCTGTATATCTTTTCGAATTAGAGCTAAATTGTCTGACCTAGCTACCGGGACAATGGGTTCTTCCAGCAAGTCTAAATCCTTCAGAAGCTTATAGTCCGTCCCATGAGTGAGCATATCTAAGCCAAACAGGGCTCGATATGGTGAACAACCTAAGGACTGATGTAGTGACGATCGCAGCGAACAAGATATACTTGAGAGATGCTGATCCCAGTATGTCTGATCCTGCTGAAGATATGCTCGCACGGCAGCTAACAATGAACGATTTACTCGTTCCGCCGCATTACTTTGGGGAGAGTATAGTGCCGTGTACATATGTTTAATTCCCAGCTGTGTCAAGAATGCGTTGAATTCTGTAGCTTTGAATTGTTTTCCATTGTCGCTAACAATAGTTTCAGGCACCCCATATGCATGAAAGATATGCTTTAGCAGAAATTCTTGGATTACTACGGAAGTAAATTTCTTCAGGGGGTGTAGCCAATGGTATTTGCTGAAGTGATCTAAAACAATTAGCAACCCAACATGTCCATTTTTGCTGCGTGGATAAGGTCCAAGCAGATCTATGTATAA